ATACGACACTTCCTTTTTTTTTTAGACATGTTACATATCACGAATTTTAGTTGAAATTATTGATAAGAACATACACATACAACTCTTGCCGAATAGAAGTATTGATTTATTAACAGCGAAACTTACTCGAGACTCGAGTGGGTGAAGACAAATTGTTCCTGAACAATATATTTTATAAATTATATGTATCAAAAATCGTAAACATTAGCGTTAGAAATATGTGTTCCTTGGTGTTCATATTACATTAAAAATGTTTTCGAATGAAAATGACGAAGGTAACAAAATGATCATTATATTTAAGAAAAAGATAATATTTACATACTATCATTTGATGGCAACTTGTTTCCTATATACAGGATGTTAAAAAAATCCAAGTAGGGATTTACTTTCACTCATTCAATTGAAAAACGGTTATCAATCATTTGTTCATTACTCACCTTGTAGTAAAAATGAAACATCATCTTTCCATCTTAAAGCAAGTTTTTGACATTTTCATATTACTGAATTAAATAAAATAACAAAAAGCAACTGATTAAAAAGGCATTATCAAAATAGAAGTTACTATTTCAAATTAAATTTGATCTTTGGATTTAATCAGTTTTCCATTGAATCATCGCATACTATTTTACACGCGCTCTTTTTCAATATCCCATATAATAAATGTAGGATAATTACGTTATGTAATTAACACCATTATTTTCTACCAGGCACTGGATCTTGAGCCAAATGATAACGATGCATTAATAGCACGGAGTAAGTGCTACCTTTTGTTAGGACAACCTCGAAAAGCTTTACAAGATGCCGAAAATGCATTACAACACAAAATGAAAAATGCCAACATAGCCAAAACAATGTATTGCAAAGCAGAAGCTTTGTATCACCTTGGTGATTTTGAAATGAGCCTTGTATACTACTATCGTGGCATGAAAATCCGTCCAGAATACGGACAATTTCGCCTTGGTGTTCAAAAGGCGAAAGATGCAATACAAAATATATTGCGTAAAAATTGAATTGTTTCTTAAAAACTCAGTTGTAACAATAAAACTAAAAATTATTAACTTCATAAATA